TTGTTTTGAGTTCAAACACAGGAAATGTGCGTTTGTTGACTCTACATGTGAGTTAACTACTAGTTAATAATTTTTTGTCTGACTGTAATATCAGGGTCTTTAGGGTCCACACGACTGCTCTGCATGTCGTGCAAGACACTCACGTTAACCTAACCCTACTAACTGCATGTATGTGGATAGGGGGGGGAGCTAGAGTACCCGAAGAAAGCATGCAGTCTACGCAGAAAGGCGCTTGGCACATGATGGATGGTGGAACTCAGGACCTTCTTGTTGTGAGGCAACAGTGCTAACCACCTCGCTAAATATTTAGATAATAACTCAGCATTTTTATTTACAAAGGAAATCCTACATAAAAAAGTAAAACCAAATATTCTTGTAGAACAAAAACTAAATTTAAGAAAGCTAGTCGATCTTGCAAAAAAAAAGTAAAGCGAAATAATACAAACAATACTAACTACAGTAACTATGCTGTAGCACATTTCACATCCTGTTTGAATGTTATAAGGGGCGTTCTTTCAATCCAATCTGGCAACCCGAAGTAGTCTGGTCGAGGAAAATATTGCCCACAGCAAGACTACTTGGCATTAAAGACGGCTGGTGGTAGAAGCTGCGGACACTCGTTTCCAGAAGCTACTGTTCACTTGCTGCCGCCAACAAGTACGTATTCGTGATTTTTAGATTATATTTTTGTGCTATTAGACTGAAAAAACATGCTTTAACAGCAGCGGAGTATTTAACGCTAAAGTTAAGCAGCCGAGTGATGGCTAGACTTACAGCACAAACCCGACTAATAAAAGCCAAGCGGTCTGCTAGCTGCGCGCTAATGTTAGCCAAAGCGGCATCCAGAGGACCCTCCAGAGAGGGGTTGTTTGTCTGATGTGCTGTATTTAGCTATGCATACATTCTCCGTGTTTTTTGGGGGGCTAATTTAATGCGACAGAGATTTTTTTTGCGGTCAGCGAGGCAGAGCCTTGCAGAGATGCTATAAACGTTAGGTAATGTTAGCACGCTAACGGTAACGTAACCTCCGGACTTCAGCCAAATACGTGCAGTGAGCTGCTCTCTGATGAAAGACTGGACCGAGACCCCCATTGTGCAAGTTGCTTTCAGTCAAGAGTTTGCAAAAATGTGTAGATATTCATTAAAAGCGAACAAATAAAACAGTGACATTACATAACAGGCTGAATTGAGCGGATCGTTCCGCTACAATAAACGCGAAGTTCGGTTTTTTTTTTTATGGCCGATCTTTGTCGTGAAGGTCCTTTCACAAAAGATTGGGATGTTTTTGGGGGTTGTGGGGAAGCCTTTCCGCTTCTGTAGCGATCCTTATTACTCAGGCTTTGAGCTGGAATATAATGCAAGATGCTAGTTAAGATGCAGCAACGGATGAGGGGGTATTTATATCTCTCTCCCTGATTAGCCAGCTACACTTAACGTCTTATAATTAAAGGAGGTAGTCTAGGTTTTCTAGTCATGCCCGACAGGTTTAATTAACTGTGAACCTAGCGATCACTGGCTTCTCTGGCAGCAATTCAACAGAGATTAAATTACAGCAAAGAAGAAAAAAAATAAAAATAAAAAAACAAAACTACCTGGTGATTGGATTGTGTGTGTGTGTGTTGTTTATCAGTGCTTTTCCTCTTAAATCTGCCACACACGCATGTACCTTCCTTGAAGCCCAAACTTTTTTACGTCATGAGTGCTGTGTTGGCATTTTCTTCTTAATGGCATCACTCAACAGGAGTGCACCTGGCATTCTTGAACGCTGGAGAACCATCCCTCTTGATAAACACAGTACATCTCGGTGCCTTTGCATGAGTGGCTTGTGCAGTGTCACTTGTTGATCGTGCGTGTATATGTGAGTTTGACGTCTGTAAAGGTGTGGTGGAACTGGGACTATGGCATGCCAAGTCCTAATCAAGAGGGTGTTGGCTTCTACAGCCTTTTAAGTTTCCGTTTCTGGTGAACAAGGATCAGAAAGGGAAACCTATAAGCTACAAACAGCTGGTCCATAAAACTGGATCCAGACTACTGGAGGTCTGACTGAAGCAATTTTAAGGCTAGAGTGGGCATAATTAAATAAAGTTCACATAAAGCAGCAGTGAGACGGGCAAGAGAATGTGTCTGCTATATTGATTACTAAGCATGATGACTGTAAAATTTCCAAGAGTGTAATAGGGATTTACAGATGCTTTTTTTCCCCACAATGAAGAAATTGCAAAATTGTACTTTCAGTAGTTTTGTCTAAATTAAGAACCCATGTCATTATACCAAAACCAAACGTTATGTAATTTCTGACATCACCGACTCTTATTCTTCCTGTTTAATTTCCAGTAAAGAAAATAAGTTGTAAAAGTGTCCAAAGGTATTTTAAAAAAAGAAAAGGAGAAAAAAGTCATTTTAGACTTCAGACCCAGTGTAGCCATCATAGAGACTGCCAGAAAACTTAGAATATTCAAAGTAGTTTTAAATCACACACACAATTTTTTTTTTTTTTTTTAATACACTTTCAGATATTTGCACACAGTTGTCATCAGCCCAAGCAAACGCTGCACACTGCAACACCATTGCCAGCACAGCATTATCACCCACCACTCCTGTAGACAACCGAGAAAAAGGAAATACCCCTAAAAATGTGTTAATCTGAAACCCTGCTAAACTTTTCTTCCCAACTATATGCAGCTTTTCTGCCAAGGACAATATGAACTGCAGATTTTTTTTTATTTATTTATTTATTTTTCTTGAGGACTCTCCGCCAGACAGACAATAATTTATTGAAATCTGTTTTTCATTCATATTTCATAGCCAGAGGAAATGGATTTAGTTTGCATTCTTTTTTTTCTTTTTCTTTTTCTCAAATCATCGAAAAGGGAATGGTGGTATCTGCATTTTTACTTGGTACATCATGACCACAGTTGGGGTTTCCTTTTTTTTTTTTTTTTTTTTTTTTTTTTTTTTTTATGCCAACATTTGCGTAGTGATTTGAAACGATTTCTTTTTTACTATCTCTGAAATGTTATAATAGTTTCATTCCACAGATTTAGTGAGGGTAGAGAAAAGGGGAAAACCTAAATCTTTGACTGAATGGTGACGGTCTGGATCTGAACCTTGTTCTTCCAA